AAAGGCTAACAGTAAGATAATCTCATGACCAGTAAGTGGCAGAGTCATAACTCAAATCCAGGCACTCTCTCCAGGACCCACATTGCTAACCACTGCAATGTGCCCTCTGCACTAATGATTAGAGTGTTAGAGCTGAAGGGACCCATGAAAGCACCTACATTGTATTCTCCTTCTGTAAACTGAGGCCCAATTACATTGTTCTACGATTTCCCACTGCTTGCTTCATTCATGACATTCCTTTATCACCTTTTACAGCCACCTTCACAGTAACTTGGGTCACTGCACAAGGCTGACTGGAGATTTACACATTTGCTTTGACTATCTGGTAAGGACACCATTGCAGTTTTATAACAAACCAACATTTAGTTCAGTTCTCACTCTTCTGTTATCAGAAACCTCTGTGGCAATAATCATATAAAACAATATTCTATGAATATTTTGTTGGTACACTCAGAGAATCAAACACTATGTAGCCTGGACACTATAATAGTATAAAGGTCTAAACAGTTTTAATAAGTAAAGTCTCATTCTTCAATAGATGACAGTACTGAAAAGAATACCTTTGAAATGATTTTGGATTTGCAAATTAAATGTTCAGAATAGATGAAAAAGTCTCCAGCCCCACTTCAGATGCTGAATCTAATGAATGTTAAAGTTCTCTCAAACTCTGAAACTGAGAGTTTGAATGGTTGTTTCTGTGAAATCATAGTTTCTGGCGCTTTGGCTGATTCACCTAAGTATACTACGGGACAGCGTGCCAGGGCTCTACTCAACCTCATCAGAATACACTCCCATTATGGGAACAGACAATAACAGGGACTCTCAGATGATGACAGGCAAGTGATTCTGTTAAGAGGTGAGGCGGGAGTGGGGTGGGAATTTGGTTAAGTTCCCAGAAAGATCAATGATGTTATTAGTTATAACATTCTAGGATAACTAGCTCATCCCCAGAAGCAAGCACTGGGTTTCCTTTTATAGGTGCACAGTGACCTCTACTGGTACAAGTATAGAATCCCGAAGTGCAATTTTCTCCATAAGTGATTTTCGGAGGCACAACTAAGAATATTTATTCTTTTAAAATGACACCAAAAAGAAATTATATAATTTTAAAAATACTTATTTTTTGAAACCTTTTATAATTTTGAATTAATGAGATCTCCTCCGCTACCAGAATTAGACATTTCAATTAAAGTTGTCCATACACATAATATCACAGAACGAAAAGAACTAAACAGTACTTTAATTTTAAAATCCTGCTGCTAAGTGTCATGGTGTCAAAACTGCTATAAAATATAACTATTTTGGAATAACTCCAATTTACCCAAAAAGTACCAAAGGTACCAATTATAGAAGAATTATAGAGTATATTTAAAATTTACAAAATGCTTTGAAACTTTCCATTGTCGAATGCTAAGTGGCTTACTTTCTCATGGATATTTTGCTTCCTTGATTTTAAAACAGTTAAAGCATTGGTTTTCTCTCTTAAATCCCAAAGGCTACCAGAAATAAACTGTAGGTAGGTTTATTACATTTATAGAAACTTTCAATAGGCGAGTTCAACCTACATGTGAAACAATGCCAAGTGAGATGCTGACGTCAAAGACAGCCTCCATATATGTCATTATTTGTCATGTATAACAAAATACTGTACATGAGTTCAAAGGAAAATGAGTTTTTAAGAGCCCAAAGCAATATTTTTAATTACTTCAGGCTGAAATCATTTCCTTCAAACTCTATTTCTGTAACTTTCCACTGCAGAAAATGAAGTAGAAAAGAATTTAAAATGATACTTTTCAGTGAGGAACACTCAAACCAAATTTCATTCCAACAGCGGGAGAATACAGCTTCCTTCATCTTGCCCATTTTGTTTTTTCTTTAACAAAGTATAATAAAAATAGTTGCGAATTAGTGAGTTAAGACACTTTTTGCCCAGAATACATACAACAGAGTTCCTTTCCAAGAAATTATTCATTGCTTAGATAAGAGTAATGAATTAGGAAAAAGGAAGACATTTTTATTTAACTTTGATAACTAGGATTTGCATATCTATATGGCACATTTCTCTTTCACTATTTCTATTAATTAATCAGCCCTATTTGCTGTACTACACGGGAGGCACTGCTGGGGATACCAGGGTGACACGGCATTGTCCTTGCTCCTGAGGAACCAGCACTTAGGGAAAATATGATTGCTATACAAGTAGCTATAAGAACATATTTTATTTTATTATTTTATTTTGAGATGGAGTCTTGCTCTGGCACCCAGGCAGGAGTGCAGTGGCATGATCTCGGCTGACTGCAACCTCTGCCTCCCAGGTTCAAGCGATCCTAGTACTTCAGCCTCCTGGGATTACTGGTGTGCGCCATCATGCCCGACTAATTTTTGTATTTTCAGTAGAGACACGGTTTCGCCACGTTGGCCAGGCTGCTCTCGAACTCCTGACCTCACGTGATCTGCCCACCTTGGCCTCCCAAAGTGCTGGAATCACAGGCATAAGCCACTGTGCCCAGCCTATAAGGACATATTTTAAATAATTAACCCTTAATAGATAGTTTTTACTAAAAAATGATCTAAACTTTTCATACAACTCCCTACCACCTCCCCTACCCCTGCCCCACATAACAGTATCTGTAGCCACCTTGCGGGGCCCTGCTTCTGCAGACCTGTCAATGTCTTCTCTCCTTTCATATTTTGGGCATCAGATGGGGAAAATTATGCTTCTGGCTCAAGGAATCTCCATATTAACCACTGTTAAAGCAATTACTGGGCCAGGCGCAGTGGCTTATACCTGTAACCTCAGCAGTTTGGGAGGCCAAGGTGGGAGGATCACTTGGGCCAGGAGTTTGAGACCAGCCCGGGCAATACAGCAAGACCTCCGCTCTACAAATAATTTTTAAAATTAGCTGGGCATGGTGGTTCCTTTCTGTGGTCCCAGCTACTCGGGAGGCTGAGGCAAGAGAATTGCTTGAGCTCAGGCAGTCAAAGCTGCAGTGAGCTGAGATCATGCCACTGCACTCCAGACGCTGCCTCAAAACCACCCCCACCACTGAAAAAAAAACAACTCACAATTGCCACCACACAACTCCTACTCAAATAATCCTATCGGTAAAATATGCCCTAGGATCACATAGTGAATAGACACACACTAACAGCTTTCAGTAGTGAAAGGTGAAGAGAAAGAGTGAAGCCCCATGGTGAATCCATCAGGGCCTGGCCTCTGTTTTGTACTCTCTATTCCCAGCCTACAGGATAATGCTTTTCTCACATAAGGATGACACGGGACACTACGAAAGCAATTTTCTAAAAGTTAACTCTAATTCCCTGAAAACATTCATGGGTTTTAAAATTATTAACATTAAATCACAGCCGGCCATGCTAGCTCACACCTGTAATCCTAGCACTTTGGGAGGCTGAGGTGAGTGGATCACTTGAGGTCAGGAGGTCGAGACCAGCCTGGCCAATATGGCGAAACCCCCTCTCTACTAAAAATATAAAATTAGCCAGGTGTGGTGGTGGGCACCTGTGATCCCAGCTACCTGGGAAGCTGAGGCAGGAGAATCGCTTGAACCCAGGAGGCAGAGGTTGCAGTGAGCTGAGATTACGCCACTGCAATCCAGCCTGGGTAACAAGAGTGAAACTCTTATCTCAAAACAAAACAAAACATTACATCAAGAAATTCCATGTAACTACTATATCCCTGAGTGCTCTAAAGTAACATGTCTAAGAAAAGAAAAACATCCTTCCAAACTCTGTCAAGACTGGGTAGAATAGGGAAGAGAACAGGAAACAGCTGAAATCCTCCTCAGTAGAGGACTGGAGCACCATGGGAAACTGCCGATACTGGGCACAACAGAAAAACAGGAAACGTGTTCCTCAGGAGAAAACTGGTTAACTAAATTATGGTTAAGCATATAGCAGAATATTATGCAGGCATTACAAATGATGTGTGGCTTATATGCTCGGGAAGCATCTAGAAGAACACATGAGGAACTAACAGTGGTTGCCCCTGCAGAAGAAGAATTAGGCTGGCTGGCTAATTATGAATTTTTTACTTCATCTGCTTTGTTACGGGTTGAATGAGTTATGATAAACATGTATTATTTTTAAAACAAAACAGACAAAAATACGAAATAAACACCATTTTGAATGACAAGAAAAAAAGGAAAAATGACTGTGCTGTGGATGGTAGAAAGAAACAGGTTATTATGAGATCAGTGTGAGAGATGTTCATGACAAAAAAATAGGACAGAGTACCGAACTTTTAAAAATTTTGGTCAGATGAAGCAATCTGATAAACTCATTTGTCAAAGCAAACTAATATTAATTTGAAAAAATAAGAAATCACTGAATTGAGTAAAGTGACAGCATTCCTGGAAGGAAATAAACCTTTACATGAAAGTCACTCAGTGTGAGAATGTTAAAATGTTCATATTTTCTATTTCCACAGTTATCCTCACATATTTTCTTGTGTGCTTTAATCAAAGTATCACCCCAATTGTTAACCACTCCAAGAATCAGCAGTGAACAAAACTACATTGTCCTTCACCCGTGGAAGCTTTTGTTGCACAAATTTCAAAAGCCTTGTCAAAGGCAGAAACTAGTTAGCACAAAGAAATGATGTCACAGGATAAACAATTTGTACAAATCCTGAAGATACTCGAATGACAAGTTCTGTGCTTAGGACAACATTCTCCATGAGGACAAAGGCGGCAGTAAAAAAGTTTCAAGAACCACCACAATTCAAACATGTAACACTGCTTTTAAATACTGATCAAACGTTAAGGCTCCAAAATGCTGTAATTTTGGAATTATTTTTCCTTTATTTTTTGAAAGCATTGTTCAAAAAACAAGAAAAGCAACTATGTTATCCAATATGAAATTCCACAATATGAATTTTCAGCTTAGCAACTAGTCTAGGTAATGATTAACTGGAATAAGGCAATGACAGGAAGAAAACCCAAACCAGGAAGAGCTGTCGCTACAAACTACAGAATGCTCACCTGCCTGAGGGGGACACAGGAGGGAGAGTCTGGGACCGAAGAGCAAGAATTCCATGTGGACTTGGAGTTCCTGATCATTCAGCAGTCATTCATTTCAGTTAAGGGTAGACTTTGCTCTCGTGAAAATGTGCGTGTGATAGAAAGTATATGAGGAACCTCAAGAAAGAGAGAAGGATAACTTTTTAAAAATTCCCTGGAAGATATTGGGGTAGGCTAATTTCAAAATCAATAAAAACAAGCAGAAAAGAAAGCCGGGACAATGAAAACTTCACTTATTTTACAGTATCATCTGAGACTGGCAACATATTTTACAGATTACATTCCCAAAGAGAGTGTGTGTGTGTGTGTGTGTGTGTGTGTGTGTGTGTGTGTGCGCGCGCGCGCGCGCGCGCGCCCGTGCGTACACATTCATACATGTATGCAACTATGCATTTAAAGACTCCATTTTATCAGCAATGAGAAAAATTTCACAATTCTGCTGTTTTTGTGGCTGTAACCTTTACTGAGTCAATTCTCTTGACCATTTTCAAAGACTTATCATCGTGGGAAACTAAAATAGTAATATTCCTAATCTTCTAGCAAAGCTAACCATCAAATCATCAGTAAAGAATTTGCCCCTCATGAGTCTATAACAAAGTCAAATTCCTGCACTAGTTAAATTATCTGGCAATGGTAAAATTCTGTTGGGGATTACAAAATGAGAGGAATGTTAATGACATTCCAAATAAGTCCTTTAAAATTAAAGCTACAAGGAACTTTAAATTAACAAGAGTATGCTCCAAGGGAGATGCATCTAGTACCACATAACTAATAAAAGTAGTTGACAGTCCTGAAGGTATGAGCATTTATCCTTTAAAGGTGTTGAAATGTTTTATATTCAGCTAAAAGATTTCATGCTACTATGACCAAATTTAATGGAGACATCTTCATTTCTGAGTTTTATAGCAGAGTCTCCAGATGCTCTATTTAAAAGCACAATGCAATCTAACAGCAGATTTGAAAATCAAATGATTTCCAGAAAACGGGTAGCCAGAAAAACTGAAAACTGATTTTTGCTATAGCTAATGAATTTTTTAATCTTTTCACTTGGTAGTAAAGCTGTGTCAGGAACATTTTGTCTTTTGGCAGCTAGTAGGAATTTCAAAATCCCACTTTCTCCTTGGAAACATATTGATTAGGTCTTTTTTTTTTTTTTTTTTTTTTAGAGGGAGTTTCGCTCTTGTTGCCCAGGCTGGAGTGCAATGGCATGATCTGGGATCACTGTAACCTCGCCTCCTGGTTCAAGTGATTCTCCTGCCTCAGCTGGGATTACAGGCATGCACCACCACGCCTGGCAAATTTTGTATTTTTAGTAGAGATGGGGTTTCTCCATGTTGGTCAGGCTGGTCTCGAACTCCCGACCTCAGGTGATCCACCTGCCTCAGCCTCCCAAAGTACTGGGATTATAGGCATGAGCCACCACACCCGGCCTGATTAAGTCTTTTATGGCTAAGGCTGTACCTAACACCCACCTTGATGGGATCCAGTTAGTCACTTGTTTCTCATTTAAATATACAACTAAGTTGCAAACTACAAAGCTACACAGTCTACATCAAGCTAACTACACTATATATAGTTTGATGTATAATCAATGTACATTATGATGCTACAAAATGCTTTCTCTTTTGAGAAAGACTTACATTTTTAAAGCCAGTGGAAAATAACCCAAATTAAAAATCAACACAACAGATATATAGAAAAAAAAGAAGAGCTAGGAACAAAACTGCCCTGTTAAAATGCTTCTCTTAGAAAGATGATAGCTTGCACATTTGCATCTAATCCACCTGACGCACAGAGCATTACTGCTGCTTCTGTCTCTTCTTGAACAAATACAGACCTTGGGCTTTACAGACTAATTCAAATGTGTATACATCAATTGCTTCCTTCCTGCTGTTGCTCTTTTCAGATAGCAGACAAGAGGCTCTAGTTTAAGGATGGCAGTCAGGATGGACACATTAGAAAGAAACATTTTAGTTTCAATGTTACCATAAAATCAGAACGGAAAGCGGCATGCTATATTATATATTACAGTTTAGGTTCCATTTCTAACTCCACTTAAAATGAATATGAACACTCATTTTTAAGTGTTTGTCAGTCAAATAAAATAATAGTCTAAATTTATTCACATATGTACCAACCAAAGGCCAATAAACTTAAAAGGAAGCCAAGTGTAATAAAAAGGCAGCTATAAGGTCTCCTGTTTGAATTTTTACCCAGTAAGAAATAAATGATACTTAGTAATCCATCTTTCTCCTCCACTGCCATCCCTTCACACATCAAAAATAGGCTAACTTCACCTACTCTAACTTCTGAGATTGTTTTGGAGTTCCTGTTTTAATTTTTTGTTTTTAAGACTGGATAGTTAAGTTACTAGAATTTTTAGATACAGGTTCAATGGTCATTATAATATACTCTAAGGAGGGCTCTAATTATTATAGGGGATTTCAAATTTGCAGTTCAACAGGCAGAGTAGAAATCATTCAATTCTAGAAATTGGTATCATTAGCATTCTTACAGAAGAAAAATGGAATGAGATTTGACAGATTAAACACATATACCACAGGCTGGGCTGCTATGTGAATAGTATTCAACCCTTCAAAGGGGGAACCGTTTTACGAGGTAACAAGAATTGCTTGCACTGTAAGAAATAGTGCAAAACTAACCCCCAAACACCAGCAGATTATTTAATGTTCTTTTGGCTTCCACCTAGTAAGATACCATAAATAATATGGTCTACTGGGAAATGTCCCATGTAGAAATAACCTAATATATAAGAAATGAGAAGGTTCCTTGCTAGAGTAACTCTATAGAAAATTAGAATTCTTTCATCAGTGGGTCTCAAAATGTAGTATGCATATAAATTACCTGGATTGCTGGGTAAAGATGCAGGTTTCCTCCACCTACTCCCAAAGCTTTTAGCTCTATTAGGTCTTGGGAGGGGCTCAGCCTGAATTTTAAACAAATCCTTTGTGTATTCTAATACAGGTATCCATGGTCCACACATTGAGAAACACTGATCTTAAAGGTGTGAGACATCCTTTATAGCTGGCCTCTTCTGTAGGGTGATTCCACGGGGGCGGTGTGCTCTGTCCAAAAGTGTGAATTACCTGCCATTTCATCATTAACCTATAATGAAAATTTGACAAGGAAAGCTCTTGGTTTACAAAAGTCACTTATTAAAGTGAGAATTTGTGTTTTTTAAAAAAGAGATTATCCCCCAAATCACAAACTCACTGAATAACAGCTGATTGTCTAGAATCTATTATGATAGCTAGACAATCTATTGTAATATTAGGGTCCATGGGGACAATGAAGAGAGACACGGGGAAAATAGTGGGGGGGAAAAAGGCAAAAGGCAATAATCTACTTATAATTCTGCCTAGACTCAGCCTTATGTGTCATATAAAAGTGTACACTAGGCCAGGTGCAGAGGCTTACACCTGTAATCCCAGCACTTTGGGAGGCCAAGGCGGGCGGATCACTCGAGGTCAGGAGTTTGAGACCAGCCTGGCCAACATGGAGAAACCCCATCTCTACTAAAACTGCAAAAAATTAGTGGAGTGTGGTGGCAGGCGCCTGTAGTCCCAGCTACTCGGGAGGCTGAGGCAGAATCGCTTGACCCTGGGAGGCAGAGGTTGCAGTGAGCTGGGATTGCGCCACAGAACTGTGCCTCAAAAAAAAAAAAAAAAAAAAAAGTGTATACCCCACGCAAGGGCACTCTGGAGCAAACCCATTAATTAGTCTCTCCAACCCCATTTTCATACCATACACAAAACTACCAAATTAATCTCTCCTTAAACATCAATTCATTTTTCAGTTAGAGAACCTATACTAAGTCCCCTGACTCCTCCGCTGGAGTCTATGTGAACTATGAACTACTCCGCTTCTGATGATGAAGATTCTGTATAACGCCATCTCACTTAACCAATCCAACCATAAGTCTGTCACCTTCTCCTAAAGTGGACTTCTCAGCTCCAGTCAGACGGAGCTCACATTTCATTAACTTTCGAGGGGTTGACTCTTAGGCTTTACACCTTTGCTCTAGTTGGTCTCATAACTGATCAGTATCCCTACATGCAAATACCTTTCACCCTTTCTCAGCCTTTAAGATAGTCCTTTGAGGCTTACCCCAAATCCCACTCCCACCATAAATCTGGTCACCACTACATTCTTTTCTCTTCATATGGAGCATTTTGCACCTTCACCAAGTACTGAAGCACTTGGCTATATTCAACCTTGGGTTTTTTACACCATTCTTTAGTATCTTCCCCATCGCCCACCACCTTTCCAAGTTCCTTGAAGGCGGTAACACTTACAGAATTTCCTGGTATCTCCATCCCCACCCAATCTCTCACTCAAACAAAATGCTAGCATATAAAATTGGCTTGATAAATAGCTATCACAATTTATGCATTTAATTATCATCAAATTGCATCCCAATGAATACCTGTAAATTGATTTATTAAACAAATATCTGAGCAACCATCATACATCAAGAGCCATTCGGAGGCACTGGGGCTATCCTTAGTGCATTCTTTGTCCTCAACTATCTTATGTAAGCCCTTAAAACAAAAACTATCTTTTTTCTGCTACTAGCATCACACGAAGATCTACAGTAGCTCTTCATTACAGATTCTGAGCGTTAACCAGAGCGTTTTCTACTCTGTAAGTTACTGGCACCACTATGACAGCCGAGAAGAGAAGCTAAAACACCAGTTTCCCCCAGACCAACAACGCTGAGTCTTCTATTTTATCACATTAACAACATGAGATTAATTTAAGGTATGGAATTTACTTCCTGTGGGTGCCCTACTCAGTACCTAGTAGATACATATATTAGATGTCAGCTGTAATAATTTTCATTTTAAAAGCCACAAACTAAAGATACATATAAACTGCCATCGTTAAAGATTTCTATCACTATGATTACCTTTTTCTGAAATAATAAAAAGGACAGGACTATTCACATAGAAAAAAGGCTTCTCAAGGATTAAAAGCTCTTATGAGACTTAGTATTTATTATTTTAAAAAATCATGGTAAAATGTATAAATTTGCCATTTTAATGGCTTATATATTAAGAAAAATATTTAAATAGTACTGTAATACTGACTAAAACATGGGATTCTTTATTGCAAAAAACTCGCTATGATTAATACCTGAATTTGGAAACTAGTGTTAGTAAATATCTTTTTTACATTCTACTGCTGAAAAAGTAATTAAAATATGCCATTAGTGGTTAAATCATTTGTATTTCAGGTAGTAAAATAAAATACAGTACTTAATATTATACTTCCTAGTTTTTCTTTTTTTTTTTTGAGACGGAGTCTTACTCTTCATTCCCAGGCTGGGGTGAAATGGCGCGATCTCCAGTCACCACAACCTCCACCTCCTGGGTTCAAGCAATTCTTCTCCCTCACACTCCCAAGTAGCTGGGATTATAAGGCACCCACCACCACACCCAGCTAATTTTTGTATTTTTAGTAGAGATGGGGTTTCATCATGTTGGTCAGGCTGGTCTTGAACTCCTGACGTTAGGTGATCCACCCGCCTAGGCCTCCCAAAGTGCTGGGATCCCAAAGTGCGGGACTGGGTGAGCCACCCCGCCCAGCCTATACTTCCTAGTTTTTCTGCATTATTTTCTTAAAATTCACAAATGGTTCCTAGTAACAGTAGCCAAAAATCTTTATAAAGACAGCTTATTGAGAAAGCCTGGCCAACATGGTTAAAGCCCGTCTCTACTAAAAATGCAAAAATTAGCTGGGTATGGTGGTGCATGTCTGTAGTGCCAGCTACTTGGGAGGCTGAGGCGGGAGGATCACTTGAACCTGGGAGGCAGAGGCTGCAGTGAGCTGTGATCACGCCACCACACTCCAGCCTGGGTGACAGAGCGAGACTCCATCTCAAAAAAAAAAAAAGCTTATTATGTAATAGGTACCTGCTAAGTACTTTACATGCATTACTCCTTTTTTTCTTAGTGAGGTATCAATTCACATAAATTTCACCTTTTTCAAGTGTACAACTCAGTAGTTCTAAGTATATTGACAAAGATGTGTAACTACCACCAATTTCAGAACATCTTCATCATGCTAAAAGGAAACTGTAACCATCGGCAGTCACTGTCCATTCTTTCCCACCCCCTCACCCCTAAGCCACTGGTAACCACTTATCTATTTTCTGTCTCTACTGATTTGGCTTCTCTGGACATTTCATATAAATAAATCATAATATGTGATCTTTTGTGTCTGGCTTTTTTGTGTGTGTGTGTGATGGAGTTTCGCTCTTGTCACCCAGGCTGCAGTGCAATAGCATGATCTCGGCTCACTGTGACCTCTGCCTCCTGGGTTCAAGCGATTCTCCTGTTTCAGCCTCCCGAGTAGCCGGGATTACAGGTGCACACCACCACGGCCAGCTAATTTTTTTGTAGTTTTAGTAGAGACGGGGTTTCACCATGTTGGTCAGGCTGGTCACAGACTCCTGACCTCAGGTGATCCACCCACTTTGGCCTCCCAAAGTGCTAGGATTACAGGCATGAGCCACCGCATCTGGCCTGTATCTGGCTTCTTTTACTTAGCAAAGTATCGTCAAGATTCAACCATGCCGTGGCATGTGTTAGCACCATGCATTACTCTTTAGGTCTTCAAAACAAACACTTAAGCTCAATACAAAATTGGCCCATTTTACATTAAAAAAAAAAAACTGAGACAATGAGACATGAAGTCACTTGCCCTCCTTGAGTCTCTCTGAATTCAAGTTTATTCATTGCATTTCTATAGAGATGTGTAAATTGTAAACATTTGATTATATGCAAACTTATATGGAATACAGTATATATTAAAAAAGAACACTGCTACCTAGGCCCATGACTATAAGTCACAATCTCTTTTAAATTTTTTCTTTTCTAAAAAATACAGTAAGTGATCTCTATGGTGTTTTCAAACTCCAAGATATTGTTAAAACATTAAAGGTTTATTCACTTTCTCTTCAACTCTGATCTGGTGCCCAATCTTTCAGAATAAAAGACTAATTACTAACGATCATTGATATCGTGATACATTGTTGAGAATACGGCTTTATAAAGTATACAGTGAACTGAACAGGTCAAAATGGCAATAACATAGTTCATAGTATGAAAATGAACTCAGTATTTCCTTATATTGTCTGTAAATAGTATGTTTATATTGCAACAAATCAGAAAGTAGCAAACATCATTTTTAGGGCTGTAGAATTTTTTTAAAAGTCTCTCTGGAAAGATCCTGACAGCTACACATGAGGACACTTCTAGAAAGAATTATGGACGAGTTCTTGACGAACTGATCCAGAATGTTACATATAACTGAACACTTCAAACTCAGTGTAAAATCTGCCCAGCAGCAGTTAGTAGATAATCTTTCTGGTCTTCTGGTAATCTTAAGGATGGACTGACTTACTTAAAATTGTCTGTCAACATGTGTATGTGTCTGTCATAGGTAATAACATAGATGTAAATGGCAGCTGGTATATGAAGCACCCTAACTGAATACTATCTGTATTTGGAAAAAACAAGCCAAGTTGCTCAGAAAAGGAAAATATAATACATAAAAGACTGAAGAAGAAGGGATTAAAGCAGTCTATATATTTATTGTAAAGCAGAATACATATTTATCGCAACATTATGTTACGTTATCTTTAATGAGAAATAGCATTTTAAAGATGTGGCTTAAAAGAGTCTGAAAACTTCACTGAATTATATTTGAAAAAAAACACCCCAAGACATTTTAATAAGTCTTAAAACACAAATTAAAATACCAACGTAGAGTTTATATTTATAAAAATAAGAATCAGCATTGCCAAGCATGGTAACTCCTTAATGGAAACTAACCAGAAGTGAGAATTTAAAAAAAAATTTTTAAATATAGTTTGGGACAGAGAATTCTGAATCATATAATTTTAATTAAGGTAAACAGCCTATGTTATCAGCAATTGCTCTTCTAGAGTAACACTATAAAATAGGACTTCCTGGAAATGTTCTGTATTTGTGCTGCTCAATTTGGTAGCCACTAGCTAATGTGACTGTTGAGCATTGAAGGGTGACTGGGGTGACTGAGGAACTGAATTTTTAATTTTTTATAAATTTAAATAGCAATAT